CACACACACAAGAGAGACACACACACACACACACACACACAGAGAGAGAGAGAGAGAGAGAGAGAGAGAGAGAGAGAGAGAGAGAGAGAGAGAGAGAGAGAGATGCGCATGCGAGTGACGTGACGAAGAAGAAGTAATTGGAACCTGCTTCATTGTCCCCATGGATATGGGCTAAGTCGGATTTACAGAGCATTGTTGGCTGCAGAGAGTGCACAGACTCACCATCCTCCTCTAAGAAACGCAGACGAATTGCAGTCTCAATGCAGACTGCTACTTTGAAGTGTGACTCTGGGTGAGTATAAATCGAAACTTTCATGTCTCAGCATTTCCACGATGTAAGAGGCAAAAAAGAAGGATAATCAGGGATTCAGTGCAAAGTGTGATTCCTTAGCGGTGGGCATGTCAATGATGTCATCATCAGGAAAGCTTCGACCAACTGTATACAATCCCCACAAATCTTTAGATTGATCCGCCGGGGCGTCAAACGTCGATCATGTCCTAAGGCAAGACTTAGTGCTTCATCAAGGGTTACATGTTCACGATGGAGTTTCCTTAGTTTAAACTTGAACGATGACATCATAGGTTCCTCCATCCGCCGTGATCTTTGTGAGGTGCACACACCATGCCAGTGGCACCGTACTACGGCCTGCAGAGATCTACAGTCCTATTGTTGCAGAGATAATGCATCCTCCCACTCCGGACAATGGCACAATGCACATGGTCGAGGAGTGCCTTGCTTAGGCTTGCTCCACACCTGATGCAGCAGCTTCTCCCGCCGTGCAGGGAGGAACTGCTCCCCCACAGCCCTTCCACCTTGGCTTCCGCATGTGGTCCTGCACCGAAACGCAGAGCTAAGGTAAGAAGGGAGCCTTGAAAACAGGCATGGAGGGGCATAATACCACAGCCACGCAGGACCCCTCAAAGATTGTGAGAGAGAGTTACACCAAGAGCGAAGAAAAAACAGCAAGAGAGCAGCGGAAATACATAAGAGAGGAGAGAGGACAATGTCCCGCAAGTTATGCCCAGAGTGGTGATATCCGAAAGGGTATAACCGAGATGGAAAAGACACG